GCTGTGTTTCATGCGGGGGAACCCCCCCCCCCCCCACCAGTAATTAAAACAGTCACACACGGCTGGTAATTGGCCTTGTCTCACTTCTCCCTCGCCATAACTCTGTCCTAAAAGCTATCCAATTAATATGCTAATGAGCTGATAAATATTTATGAAACATGTTGAATTATGCAGAAAGCTTTCAGAGGTCCATGCAGAACTTCAAAGCGGCGCTCTTCTAATGAGCGACGGGGAGTGAGATTTGCATACGGCTTTAATCAGCTGCATACTGATTAACTTTCATTATGGATGCGGCACTTCTAGATGTCTTTGTGTTTCGCTCGTCTCGGTGTTCTCCGTCGGATGCGTTCGCTGTCGCTGATGTGCTGCGTCCGTCTGTGATCGCGGAGTATCGCGTCGTGGTTCGTGGACACAGGTGAGTTTATCTTGATCAGATATTAGTGAGCTAAAGCGGCCGCCCTTCGCTCTGTTGATTGTGTTTTGAGTATCTGCTATGAAAGGGAATCACTGCTGGAAATGTGATGGTTGATTAATACGGTTCTGCGTTGATATTCAGTGTCTAATATTGTAGCTCTTGTCATCTGGCACTGGGTGATATGGCAAAAAATAGTATTTTTTCTGAACGTTTGAATTAAGATTTTAACTAGTCAGCTTAAAACTGCCACATGATTCAAGTAATATTCTCTTTATGAATCATCTGGTTAAAGAAAGTTCTGTTCAGTGTGGTGCAAACGTACAACAAACTCACGTGTTTGCAGAAGATATGCATGAAATCTTGAAGGCAAATACTGTATTTAAAACTATCCTGTGCATTCAGAAATAAGAAAAATGCTAAATATTTAGAGTTCAACTCGAAGAAGTCGAGGCGATTCAGACTCTTGCTGACTGTCAGTATAACAGCAGTAATAGACGATTATTGACAGTGAATGAAAGCAGCAGCAGCATTAAATATCATACATACAGTAGTAGTTCTGCACAGCTTTCTGCTTTTCCATTGCATTTCTGTGTAAACGGATGCGTTTGACCATTGCGTTGCATCTCGCTTTTAAAAAAAAATAGTATATGTTAACAAGAAACTTTAAAAATGTATTAGTAAATGTTGAAATTAACACACTCTAAACTAGGAACAACACTTATACAGCTTTCATTAATCTTAATGTTACAAATGGGCTCTTATTGTAAAGCAGGGGTGCCCACACTTTTTTGTGGGCGGATCTTCTTTTCAAATGAGAAACTCACCGAGATCTACCAAATGAAAAATAAATGAATAAAAAAGCTTGTTGGGATGTATCTTTATATTGCATTAATTTAATTTTTAATTAAAAATAATAATAATAATAATTAAATAATGTTAAATTCTTAGCACCCCCGTAGAACTGTTCCTGCATTTACCTGAAGCAGTGGTTTCTTACTCCAAGACCCCCTCCTCTCCAAATCAATACTGCAAGCCCAAACTTTTCTATTCACTAAAACCTTTGTATTTGTTATTATTACTTTTCAATTACATGCAATTTTTTTAAGCAAAACAAATTCAAGATAGATTTAAGCATTCCATAAAATGTCACTGCAGATATTCTATACAACTTAAAAGTATGTAAAGCTCAATTACACAGTAATTTTAACATTATAAGCACAAGTCAACCTGCCATACCAAACAATACCACAGGGAGATGCCAAAGGACTGCATATAAACTACTATACGGGTCCATTCAGAATCACTAAACACACCAAAATACAAATGAAACCATTCTGAACTCAGCGATCTGAAGGCGGCTCGACGCCACAGTGAACAGATATCAGCTCGAGCGGCGGTCTAAAACTTTTGATTTAATCACCAAATGGGCAAAAGTTTACTTCAAGAATTAACAAAATGGCATAGATGAGTTTGAAGTTTGGCATTTAAAAAGCACAGCAAATGGAAAGAAAAAAAGCACGATCTTAATTACAGCTCAATAAATGAAGCATACTTCATTAGAGCCACAGAAAGACAAACTTTCTCTGAAAAATGCACAATACACAATTTTACAGCCTAGGGTGAAGTCATTATGTACAGTACATTAATAATTATTTGTGACAAATGTAATGTAATTTAATGGAAAGCTATGTGAATGGCACTCTGTGGCAGGATTTTCTGTCGGCTGCGTTTAAATCCGCATCTCTGTGCAGCGCAGTATTGCGTGTCAAAACAAACAGCATGAGGTGTCAGTGGTTTCTGCCTCTAGAGGGCGCTCTCGCTCTGTATAATGATAGTGAACCTTCTCAGCCGCTCCAGCAACGGACCTAACCTGGAAAACTATCGGCATGGATTTTTACCGATAACCGATAGTTCCAGCAATCGACTATCGGTGCCGATTAATCTGCAAAACCGATACATCGGTCGACCTCTAAATTGTATTTATCGATAAAATGGCCCAGCCCTACTGTCGTCAGCAGCTGTTGTAAATGTTGGCTAGTTGTAAAGAGATGCTCTGTTTTCTCTCTGCACAGATTCCAGCAGCCATCCAGCATATCTGAGCAAAGGCAGCATGGAGAACGGAGCGCATGGAGGTGAGTTACGAGCTGCTGGTTCATTGCATCTGTGTGTGTTTGACTCACTGATTGACCCTCATGTGTTCATCAGCAGCTCAGGCCAACGGTCTGGATGGCCACAAACCGAGCGGTCAAGCAGCGTTCAGCGGCGTTCAGACACAAGCGCTGCTCCAGCAGGTACGTGAAGCATTGATTAAACACGCTTCTGTCGCTCGGAAACAGGTGGAGAAGAGTATGCAGATCTGTGCAGAATTTATATGCGCTGCATAACGAGGTTTCCGTTAACGAGAGGAGCGCTGGAGTGTACAGTGAGAATATAGAGCATCACACAACTCTAGTACGCTGCTGCTTTTAAAGAGAAAAAATTACACATCTGTCATTATTTGCTCCAACATCTTGAGTAAATGAAGACATTTTCACTTTTGGGTGAACTATCCCTTTAAGATATTATAATTGCTCAATTTGACCTAGTTTTGGCCAAATTTGGTATAAAGTTCCTGCATTTACCTGAAGCAGTGGTTTTTTACTCCAAGACCCCCTTCTCTCCAAATCAATACTGCAAGCCCAAACTTTTCTATTCACTAAAACCTTTGTATTTGTTATTATTACTTTTCAATTACATGCAATTTTTTTAAGCAAAACAAATTCAAGATAGATTTAAGCATTCCATAAAATGTCACTGCAGATATTCTATACAACTTAAAAGTATGTAAAGCTCAATTACACAGTAATTTTAACATTATAAGCACAAGTCAACCTGCCATACCAAACAATACCACAGGGAGATGCCAAAGGACTGCATATAAACTACTATACGGCTCCATTCAGAATCACTAAACACACCAAAATACAAATGAAACCATTCTGAACTCAGCGATCTGAAGGCGGCTCGACGCCACAGTGAACAGATATCAGCTCGAGCGGCGGTCTAAAACTTTTGATTTAATCACCAAATGGGCAAAAGTTTACTTCAAGAATTAACAAAATGGCATAGATGAGTTTGAAGTTTGGCATTTAAAAAGCACAGCAAATGGAAAGAAAAAAAGCACGATCTTAATTACAGCTCAATAAATGAAGCATACTTCATTAGAGCCACAGAAAGACAAACTTTCTCTGAAAAATGCACAATACACAATTTTACAGCCTAGGGTGAAGTCATTATGTACAGTACATTAATAATTATTTGTGACAAATGTAATGTAATTTAATGGAAAGCTATGTGAATGGCACTCTGTGGCAGGATTTTCTGTCGGCTGCGTTTAAATCCGCATCTCTGTGCAGCGCAGTATTGCGTGTCAAAACAAACAGCATGAGGTGTCAGTGGTTTCTGCCTCTAGAGGGCGCTCTCGCTCTGTATAATGATAGTGAACCTTCTCAGCCGCTCCAGCAACGGACCTAACCTGGAAAACTATCGGCATGGATTTTTACCGATAACCGATAGTTCCAGCAATCGACTATCGGTGCCGATTAATCTGCAAAACCGATACATCGGTCGACCTCTAAATTGTATTTATCGATAAAATGGCCCAGCCCTACTGTCGTCAGCAGCTGTTGTAAATGTTGGCTAGTTGTAAAGAGATGCTCTGTTTTCTCTCTGCACAGATTCCAGCAGCCATCCAGCATATCTGAGCAAAGGCAGCATGGAGAACGGAGCGCATGGAGGTGAGTTACGAGCTGCTGGTTCATTGCATCTGTGTGTGTTTGACTCACTGATTGACCCTCATGTGTTCATCAGCAGCTCAGGCCAACGGTCTGGATGGCCACAAACCGAGCGGTCAAGCAGCGTTCAGCGGCGTTCAGACACAAGCGCTGCTCCAGCAGGTACGTGAAGCATTGATTAAACACGCTTCTGTCGCTCGGAAACAGGTGGAGAAGAGTATGCAGATCTGTGCAGAATTTATATGCGCTGCATAACGAGGTTTCCGTTAACGAGAGGAGCGCTGGAGTGTACAGTGAGAATATAGAGCATCACACAACTCTAGTACGCTGCTGCTTTTAAAGAGAAAAAATTACACATCTGTCATTATTTGCTCCAACATCTTGAGTAAATGAAGACATTTTCACTTTTGGGTGAACTATCCCTTTAAGATATTATAATTGCTCAATTTGACCTAGTTTTGGCCAAATTTGGTATAAATCAATCCGAAAATGCAGGTAAAGAATTGTAGCATAATTAAATAAAACAAAATATATAACCTGTTCTGCACGCTACACATCAAACTTAAACACAGACATGCAACTTCTTTACATGTAGATGTTTAACATATTTAATTTTAAGATATATAAGATTTGCACCCTCAGATTCCAGATTTTCAAATATTGTCCTCTCCTAACCAACCATACATCAATGGAAGGCTTATTTATTTCAAATATATTGACCCATTTGACTGGTTTTGTGGTCCAGGGTCACATGTTAAGATAACAGTCTTGCTCAGAAACTACATTAATGGACAAGTTTCTCTTGGAATGTATTAGAATTTTTATAAAGAATGTATCTAGAAGTTAGTAAATAACTGTATTTTTGTTTTAGTTTTGTCATATATTTTTGTGTGTTCATAAAAATAATATTAAATTATTGTGCACAATTCATTGAACTATTGTTATTGCCTCTTTGTTAAATCTTATTATTCTTAAGTGTTTGCTATGAATACAGCCTTTGGTGCTGATATGGCGTAAAATAATGAGATTCACAATTTACAGTCAAGGTATGAGCTATTTACACATGCTAAAGAGATGAAGTCTAAACGGAATTATTCCTGAGAAGTATAAGCTTCAGATTGTGTGTTCTGTGGGTCTGCGCAGCTGTTGCAGACGCAGACGCAGCTCCTGGCCGCAGGTCAACAGAACAGCACCACTGGAGCCAGTATCTCCGCCTCCGCGGCCACGCCCATCACACTGTCCCAGCCCATTCAGATCGCGTCTGTAAGTGACTGACAGCTCACCGTCCAATCAGAGACGTCCAATTCACTGACACTCCCACTGCAGTCAGACCACACGCGCCTGAGAGCGGCTGCTCATTCACACAATAATAGAGAGAAGCTGTTTATTCTGATGCCCTCTTCTGTTAGCAAGACATACAGTACTGTTCAAACATGTTTGGGGTCGAAGAAATTACTTTAATTCACATTCAGTTGATCAAAAGTAACAGTAAAGACATTTATAATGTTACAAAAGATTCCAATTTCAAATAAATGCTGTTTTTACCTTTCTATTAAGACTGGAGTAATGATGCTGAAAATACAGCTGCGCATCACAGAAATACATTACAGTTTAACAGAGATTCACATAGAAAGCAGTTATTTTAAACTATAATAATATTTCACAATTTTTACTGTATTTTTGATCAAAGAAATGCAGCCTCGGTGAGCAGAAGAGACCGTTGTGTAACTATAGTATAGATATATTTTACAGTAAAACACATCAGTCATGTGCTTGCATGCGTCCATCTCTCTCTCTCTCTCTCTCTCTCTCTCTCACTCTCTCTCTCTCTCTCTCTCTCTCTCTCTCTCTCTCTCTCTCTCTGTCTGCAGCCGCAGGGCTTGAACCTGCAGCAGTTCGTCCTGGTCCAGCCGGGTCACTCCCTCAGTCCTCAGTTTCAGCCGCAGTTCATCATATCTCCGTCTCCTCAGGGTCAGACCGGTACGAGCGTCTCCTCCGTCTGCTGATTCCTGCTCCTCAGCGCTGTTTCTAACTCGTCTGTGTGTGTCTCAGGTCTCCTGCAAGCTCAGAGTCTCCTGACGCATCTACCTCAAAGCCCCGCGCAGAGCAGCTTCGCCCTCACCGCGCAGGTACAGCACGCCCAGACTGTGATGCAGGAAACAGAACGAATCCAGGCGTACAAATGGAATGCACTGTGTAACACGGAATATCACGGAAAAATTCTGGTTAAATAAATCAAAAGTAGGGCTGTACACATCAATAATACACATCAAAGTGCACATCTCAGAAATGATATTAATAATAATATATCATCTAAAAAAATCATGATATAATCTTAATATATGATAATAATAATAATTAGAACTTCATTTTTTAAGGAATAATCACAATTTTTTATCCTTGTTTTTATTTTAATCGTTAACCCCTGTTGAGCAGCATTTTGTTTGCCAAAAAATTAAAGCATTAATTTGATATACATGTAAATATTTTCTTAAATATATACTGTATGTGTGTGTATTTATATATACATGATAAATATACACAGTACAGTATTTTGGATGCGATTAATCGTTGCCCAGCACTAATTACATTTTCATTTGATTAAAATACTAATTAAATTGTTAATGTTTTATGTCTTCATCTGATTACCAGAAAATTTAAAAGTTTGGTAAAAATAAGACGGGAAAATTCAATATTTCTCTTTTTTTTTTTTTATATTAACAACAATTTGTTAAGCTTTTAATGACTTGTTGATAAATTCTAAAAGTTTTATGCTTTCAATTAATTAGACATGCTTATGCTAAAGTTTTATTTAACCCTGTAGAGTCTATAAAAATTCAAATTTTGGTAAAAATAAAACAAGAAAATTCAATATTTGAGGAAAAATAAAATGTGTTTAGTAGGACCTTAAACATTTATTTTTTATTAAGCTTTTAATGAATTGTTGCTAAATTGTAAAAGTAATATGATTTCAGTTAATTAGACATGCTTTTTGAATGCTACATTTTAATTGAACCCCATAGAGTTCAGAAAAATTATGAAAGAAAATTCAGAAAAATTAAAACTGAAAAAATAGAATTTGTAAAAATAAATAAATAATACAAAAATAAAAATAAGTTTTGCAGATAAGAACTGCTCATATGAATTTATTTTGTCCATTTATTTTTTTGTTGTTGTTTTTTTGATGTTTGAACTATTTTTGGATCTACACACCGCTTATCTACACAGTGTCCCTCACTGGAGTTGGGCTTGTGTCTGGTGTTACACTTTTCCAGTCTCTCCTAAAAACACACAATTCGGGATGAATTAAAACTGATTTCATAGGGCTGTACAGTTGAAGTTCTCAGTGTTGATGGAGATGGTGTGTGTTCATGGTGTTGCAGGCGGCCACACCGACGCGGAAGATCGCGGCTATGCCGGCTCCAGCGGCCGCTCCGAAGCGCATCGACACTCTGTGTGCGGAGGAGGCCAGCGACCTCGAGGAGCTCGAGCTGTTCGCCAAGAGCTTCAAGCAGAGACGCATCAAGCTGGGCTTCACTCAGGTGAGTGTGAGTGTGAGTGTGAGTGTGAGTGTGAGTGTGAGTGTGAGTGTGAGTGTGAGTGTGAGTGTGAGTGTGAGTGTGAGTGTGAGTGTGAGTGTGAGTGTGTGTGTGTGTGTGTACCTGTTTAACCAAATTTTGGGGACAAATTTGTACCCAAAAGTGAGCTTAACCTGACAACATTTGTAAAACTGCTATAGAAATAAAGTAAACAAGTTTTTTTTAAATTGTAAAAATGCAGAAAGTTTCCTGTAAGGGGTAGGTTTAGGTGTAGGGTGATAGAAAATACAGTTTGTACAGTATAAAAACCATTACGCCTATGGAATGAACCCATTTATATAGCTAAGTAAATGTGTGTGTGTGTGTGTGTGTGTGTGTGTGTGTGTCAGGGTGATGTGGGGCTGGCGATGGGGAAACTCTACGGAAACGACTTCAGTCAGACCACCATCTCCAGATTCGAGGCCTTGAACCTGAGCTTCAAGAACATGTGCAAACTCAAACCTCTGCTGGAGAAATGGCTGAACGACGCAGGTGAGAACAGCTTTCTTCTGCAGATTCAGAGTAATACCATAAACACAGACAGTCCCGGAATCGTGCTTGTGCATTCATATAGTTCCAGAGCTGAGAGATGCGTGTAATATTGAGCGTCACTCACTTTGAAAACAAAACACACATGACCAGTTCTTGATTGAGCACACTTACTCTGCATCATGTCGTCCAGTAGAACAGTTACAATGACCCCAAATTCAATATACTCAAGATTACAATTTAAGATATGGGTGCAAAAATGCCCTGTATAGGATTACGGCTTATATTTATATTGTGTGTGTTGTTAATCTGTATCACACGAGCAAGTGTGCTGTTCTTTCTGAATATCTGCACAATTGCATGTTTATTGACCTGTTGTATAAAATCAATATCAATAGAGATTAATATTGTGAGTTACAGACAAAACATTTTTTGACACACATGAGTGAGTGTGTGTGTGTGCGAGCGTGTGTGTGTGTGTGTGTGTGTGTGTGTGTGCGAGTGAGTGTGAGTGTGTGTGTGTGTGTGCGCGCGAGTGAGTGAGTGTGAGTGTGCGAGTGTGTGTGTGTGTATAATCATTAATATTTATTTTATTTCAAGTAATGAATTTTTTATGGTTTGAGCTTTAGTTTAAGTTCACTATAATAATCCTGCTTATAAGATGATTTATGCATATGTAAATGTTTTCTGAGCTGCAAACAGTTTAAATGCATCTAAATGCAGCTTTTGTGCTGCAAGAAATGACACTGATTTAAATTGTTCTAAAGTGTCTTATTACTCTGAATTAATTTATTGAATACATTTGAGAATGTGACATAAAAGATGATGCATTTATCTAATAAGGTTAAAAATGCTATTATAAAGTTAGAAATGACACTGGAAATATTATTCTTTAATGAGCACTTCTAATATGAAGCGGTTGATGTGTGTTTGCTCAGAGCACATGTCTGCGGACTGCGTGGTGTCGAGTGCGAGCGAGATGTCTCCGGGTCTCTGTGAGAGTCTGAACCGCCGGCGCAAGAAGCGCACCAGCATCGAGACCAGCATCCGTCTGGCCTTAGAGAAGAGCTTCCTGGAGGTGAGCACTAGAGGGCAGCAGAGCTCACGGTGGCATCTGGCAGCTCTTCTGGCCTGGCAACTGATGTTTAGTGTTATTGTGTGGTCTGCAGCAGAGTCCGAAGCCGTCGTCGGAGGAGATCACACTGATTGCGGATCAGCTGCACATGGAGAAGGAGGTGGTGCGCGTCTGGTTCTGTAACCGCAGACAGAAGGAGAAGCGGATCAATCCTCCCAGCAGCGGCGGCTCGCCCGGATCGGCCCTCAGAACCATCTACAGCAGCGCCTCGGCCGCGGTGCGTCGCTCCAGATCAGATCAGATCAGACTAACTCTTAGAAAACCACATCACTGTCTGGATCAGGGCCGTTAGCAAATCATTATCACAGATTAAGACAGGCTTAAGTATCAAGTGTTACAAAAGTATGAAGTATTAGTATTATTTTATATTTCTTAAACCATTTTTATTTTACAGTGACATAATATAATTAAAGTTTCATTCAGTTATAAAAAAAAATTGCTGTTAAATTGTGAAAGTTTCATGATTTCAATTAATTAGACATGCCTTTTGATTTATATTTCTTAATGTAACAATTAAAATAGAGTCTAGAAAAATGGAATTTGGGAAAAAATCAAACAGGGCCCTATTTATTTCATTTTGTGTCTTTATTGTATTTGTCCTTTACTTTGTTACTTGCATTCATGTTTTTATCATTAATAACAAAGATAAAATATAATATCATGATATAAATTGTTATTGCGAAATAAAATTACTATATAATGAAATAAGATTTGGCTTTATCCTTTTAGCAAACTTATCAATGTAGCAAATCTCGGTAGTTGCTCGTCTGTGTAGTGGCACTGGCATGCAATTATTATTATTATTATTATTATTTTATAATTTTTTTTTAAGAGGGATGAATCGATTTTTAATAGATAAAATAACTATGATCTCCATTTGGATCATCTATTATTTAATGAGTTTTCCTGTTGTTCTGTGTTTTTGTCGTAGTGTGGGTTCAGTAGTAGTATCATGACATTGCAGTCAGGTATCGTATCGAAGTCAAACTTAACGAGGTGTTAACGAGCTGGTTCTTGTGTTTGTGCAGCGGGGCGCTGCTGAGTTTGGCTCCTGCGCTGATGAACAACAACCTGCTAGCCACCATCCAGGGTAACTACTGCTTCATCTCATTCTGTCTCAAAAATTACTCACATTTTTATAACCTGTTGAAAACAAAGAGCAGTAGAAAAAAGGTTTAAGTTTAACCACTTTATTTTTAATTTACCCAATTTATTAAGACAAATGACAAATACTTTTTTGGTTTTAACAGTCAAACACCAAATAAAATGTAAACAAATATCTCCTTTCTTATGTTTTATGTGCAGAAGTGTTAAGGAAACGTTTTGCTTGCTTCCCGAAGCAACAGGAGCAAAATAATGCAGCGCGTTCAACTGTTTATTCAATGCAATGAAATAACTGTCTGTAAAAAAGTGCATAACGTCTAAATGAAATCAAATATAATTTTGTAAATTGCATAAACAATTATGAACCAAACAGCATCATGTATTTATGCATTGCTTAATATAAAGATCCGAGGCGCCGATCACACAGATTGCATTTAAAAACACATGAGACGCCGTGAAATGGAATAAACCAATAAATCAAAATTGTAGTTTTTGTATTTTAGTGCAGTTAACAATTATTTTATTTCAAGTAACAAAAATGTGTTTGTTTGTTTTTTTTGTTATCGATATTAACCCTGGAAGGATTTTTGTTTCATTGAGACACACACACACACACATATATATCTATATATTAGGGCTGTGAATCTTTTGGTAGTCAGCGAATCGATTCGATTCACGATTCAATTAAATTCGATTCGATTCGATTCTGCATTCTTTAAGTGCATTCACAGGATTATTTAAAATAAATGCTTCAGCTAAATTCTTCAAATGCTTCGTCGGGGCAAATTGCACAGCAGCCTTTATGGTTAGAGAGAAAAACACTTTTGTCTATTGTTCGATGCTAGTTTAATGATGCTATGGCATGACGTGTAGAAATTTATGTAAGCCAAGATTTTAAAAAAGAGCTTTAAAAGTATTATGTATAGGCTAACATTTTGTCACACCAGGGGCGCAGCCATCATTTCAGAAATGACAGAAATGTCATGCAATAATTTTGTGTTTTATTATGATTTTTTTTTATTTTACAAGGAATTATTTTCTTATCTCTTACTTTGAATTTGCGACAAGAAATGAAATACACTGCTGGACAATAATCAATCATTTGTAATCTATAATTTTTTCCTAATGACAATTTTATGATCGTTACAAACAATTATTTAAATTTTCTGCACAGAATAAGGTAGAAAATATACTTTATAGTTTCTGTACTGTACTAAATGATATATTGTTTAGCACTGCATCATTCATAAATTGTATTTATTTATTGTGTTTATTGTCTTGACGTTTCAGTTCATTCTGCTTTTTATTCAGCTGCAGATATAGCCTGCACGTCTATGAGCGCGAGATCACTTCTCTTTCAGTGCGAACACTTCTGTATCTCATTTACATAAAATAGAATGCTGAAGTATTTAACTTTTCCTCTCCATCGGCAAAAGTAAAACTACTTCACTTTAGCATTACTGGCCACGAGTACTAAGGAGAGATCATCACACATCAGCTGCTCAATATAATATAATAAATACTGGAGCGTGTGAAGGAGAGATGCGAGGCACGAACACTGTTCAAGCTCTCCATTAATTCCTGCTTATAGTAATTGAATGTGTATATATTTTGAAAGCATTGAATCGCTATAGAAATCGATTCATTCGATTCTTAGCGTTTTAAATTGATTACTGTCCGAAATCGACGATTCACGATTCAAAAATCCATGTTTCAAGATCGATTCATTGCATCGTCAGGGTTTGTAATCGATGCATCAAGAAAACGAGTGAATCGATACACCCCTAATATATATATATACTAGTGCCGTCAAACAATTAATCGCGATTAATCGCATTCAAAATAAAAGTTTTTGTTTACATAATATATGTGTGTGTACTCTGTATATTTATCAAATATAATTACACACACACAGTATATATTTTGAAAATATTTACACGTATAAATTTTATATTCATATAATTTATATTATATATAAATATATTTAATATATAAACATAACATAGTTTTCTTAAATATATACATGCATGTGTGTCTATTTATATATACGTAATATACACAGTACGCACATATATATTATGTAAACAAAAACGTTTATTTTGGATGCAATTAATCGCGATTAATCGTTTGACAGCACTAGTTCAAAAGCAAATTTTTATTTGAAATTCGACTAATATTCATTTGTTATTCACATTCTCCTCATCACAGGCAAACACAGCACTCATTTCAGCAAACATCTTTTATCGTTACTAAATACCGATTTTATCGACCAGGCCTACATGAGGATATGGAGGAATTATAAACATGAAAGTCATGATTTTGCTGTATGAATATGTTTGTGGTGTTTGTGTTTATCAGCTCTGGCGTCTGGCGGCGCTCTTCCTCTGACCTCCATCGACGGAAACCTACTATTCGCCAACACTAGCGCGGGAAACCCCGCCCCCAGCCTGGTGACCACGCCCTTCTTCCTCAACCCGTCCAGCTTCTCTCTGCTGCCGGCCAATCTGCTGTCGGTGGGAGGGGCCGGAGGCGGAGCTCTCAACCTGCAGCTGAACAGTGACGTCGCCACGACGACCAAGAGTGTGGGCGTGGCCTCGAAGGCGCAGTGAGCGTGTGGCTCCGCCCCAATTCTGTGCTATCACCAAAAACTCTTGCGAACAATCGTCAAGCTCAAGGAGGATGGAACTTAATCAGTTGCTTAAACTAACGTCTAAATTAACCAAAAATGTGACTCTTTCAGATTCTTGACGAGAGATTGTTTCGCGTAACAGAGTTTCTATTGACTTTCTACGAGGCTTTCTGTTGTTTATATTCGCGGTTCTGTGGAACGAGCCGATTGTAGGTGATTTCTAACCAAAAGCATTTCAGATTTTTTTCGTTGCGTTGGGTGGAGGTTCTTTCAGAAGACTTTTTAAACTAGTACTCTAACTCGACATCACTTTATCAATACGGTTAGAAGGCTTTAAACGAGTACTAACGGGTGCCGGCGAGAGATGCAAGCCAATTCTGAGTGAACTGATTCTGAATCGAGTTCGTTCAACTGAATTGATTTAACCTTTGTGATTCGCTCACATCTGTCTGTCCTATCAGATGTGTTCCTGGCGATCTGACGGAGCAGGGGTCAGAGGTCAGGAATCCTCCAGCACTGATGCTCAAGGATCTTCATCTGAAGACTCTGCTCATACTACTGTGTATAGACACGCTTCAGCGTCGTTTCTGTTTCTTTGCCAAAGCAAACGTCTTTTTTTAACTCCTTTCACTGATGGCGTCTCGTTGTTTTTATATGAAAATATCAGCAGTTTCTGTTCTTTGCTCTGCTGTCATCTCTCGCTGTATGGTTTATTATATTGCGTTTATCAGTGATTGCGTGTGAGCAGCTTCAGGTTCATCTTTATTATTTTCTGCAGGATTGAAAACCAAAGATTCATCAGCGTTTTTTGTGCCGCCCTCCGTTTCTCCTCCTCTTTAGTCAGAAAACACACACTATATTCCAGGAGTATATAGAAATATATGAAAAAACATAGTTTTATTTTGTGGCTCCCAAAGCAGAAATCCTCTTAAGGATAAAAACCAAAGATTTCTCACTTTTTCTTTGCCTTTCCTTTATTTGTCTT